GGTCTCGTTCCTTGGTTTCATGGTCTCGCCCGAGGGCATCGGTATGGAGCGATCCAAGCTCTCTGCGATCTTGGATTGGCCCATACCGCGCAACATCTCGGATCTTCGATCCTTTGTCGGGTTTGCGAACTTCTATCGACGCTTCATCGATGGATACGCAAAGATCGCGGGGCCCATGACTCGGCTCTTCCGGAAGACGCATGGCTTCCAGTGGTCCCGCGAAGCCGATAAAGCATTCAGATCCTTGAAGGATGCCTTCGTTTCGGAGCCCGTTCTGGTGCATCCGGACCCATCCAAGCCGTTCGTCGTAGAGTCAGATGCGTCGGACTTTGCGCTTGGATGCGTGCTCTCCCAGCGGGGTGCTGATGATCGCCTTCATCCTTGCTCGTTCCATTCGCGGACACTCTCGAATGCTGAACGTAACTACAGCATATACGAGAAAGAGCTGTTGGCGATCAAGGAGGCTTTCGAGGCGTGGCGACACTACCTCGAAGGCGCCCAGCATCCCGTTGCCGTTCTGACCGATCACAAGAACTTGGAGTACCTGGCAACGGCTCGCATCCTAAACCAGCGTCATGCACGGTGGTCCCAGTTCTTGTCTCGGTTCGACATCCGCATCCAGTACCGTCCTGGTGCGAGGAACGGCAAGGCCGATGCCCTGTCTCGTCGCTCGGACTACATCCCTTCGTCGGCCTCCGTGTCGAGGGATCCGCCTCTGCTTCTCGATCCTGCCGCGGTGATACGCGTGCTCCGAAGCAGAGACGCCCGCTCTTCGGTTGCAAGTCGCAGTGACCCTGTGGATTTGCTGCAGCTCATAGCCGAAGAGCAGGCTCGGGATCCCGGTCTAGACAAATACCGTCGTGACCCGAAGTTCGTCTGGAATGGCCAGTACCTCACCTTCCAGAACAGGATTGTGGTCCCAGAGTCGTGCCGAGTTCCGGCGCTCAAGTCGTGCCATGACCCAGTCGCTGTGGGTCATCCAGGCATCCGACGGACTCTGGCTCTGGTATCGCGACAGTTTTGGTGGCAAACCTATCGGAAAGATGTCAAAGAGTACGTCTCGACGTGCGACACCTGTGCACGCTCGAAAGCTCCGCGACACAAGCCGTTTGGGTTCCTGTTGCCACTCCAGACAGCCGATCGACCCTGGGGGACACTGACCATGGACTTTATCACTGATCTGCCAAAGTCCAAGGGTCACACCTGCATCTTTGTGGTGGTATGCAGCCTCACAAAGATGGCACACTTTATGTCCTGGCGTTCACTGCCGTCGGCGGAGGAGACTGCGTCACTGTTCCTCGACAATGTCTTTCGTCTCCATGGCCTCCCCGACACAGTGGTTTCAGACCGAGGAAGTCAGTTCACCTCTCGGTTCTGGAAGGCACTCTGCACGCAGCTCGGGATCCAAACCAGTCTGTCCACGGCCTTCCATCCCCAGACCGATGGACAGACTGAGAGGGTCAACCAGGTCATCAACCAATACCTGCGCTGTTACACGTCGTATCAGCAAGATGACTGGGCCGAGCTGCTGCCGTTGGCCGAGTTCTCTTACAATAACCTCGAGAACTCGTCAACACATGCCTCGCCATTCTTGGCAACCTATGGGTTCCACCCAAGGTTCGAAGTCCCCGTTGTCGCTGGCGGCCCTGATGTTCCCTCTGCCACGGAGAGGGTTGAACATCTCCAGCGGAACCTGGCACTGTTGAAGGAGAATCTTGAGAAGGCAAAGTCTGACTACAAGCACTTCTCAGATCTCCGGAGGTCCCAGGCTCCCGACTTGCGTCCGGGCGATCAAGTCTGGGTGCTGACTCGTAACATCAGCACCACTCGCCCAAGCAAGAAGCTGGATTACCAGAGGATTGGACCATTCACCATCCTCGAGGCCGTCGGGACATTGGCTTTCCGCCTGGACTTGCCAAAGGACATAAAGGTGCACCCGGTGTTCCATGTGTCTCTTCTTGAGCCCTACAAGAAGAACTCGCTTCCGGGTCGGGTGCAAGCGCCGCCCCCTGCGGTGGTCATCGATGGGAACTTGGAGTGGGAGGTCGAAGAGATCTTAGACTCCAAGTTCGTGCGCGGAAAGCTGCACTATCTCATCGATTGGAAAGGCTACCCGGTCACCGATCGAAGTTGGGAGCCCGCCGACATTGTCTTTGCCCCAACGGTGGCCGCGGAGTACCACCGACGCTACCCAGACAAGCCTGGCCCCAGGAGAACTCAAGATGGAACACGCCGTAGTTTAAGGAGGAGATAGTGTGATGACCAGCATCACAACGGACCAATGAGATTGTCCCGCATGCTCTCGCCCTCCGCACCAATCATGAGTCCCCACGTGTTTGTTTGCCCCCATGCATGAGCACGCGCCGTTGCCACCCGCGTCTACTGGTTTCCTGCCTCCCCCACCGCTCGGCACATGTCCCCGGGCTGTGCCAAGCCTCTCTCGCTTGCACACCAGCCACTCTCGCACCCCCTTCTCGCTTCTCTGTGATGCTCCACCCTTCTCGCCCACTTTTGCCCCTCGACCTTCTCCCGGTCTATAAATAGCCCTGCATGTCTGAGCCTATGTTGAACACCAGTTCGAACAAAACTTGTTCTTTGGTGTTCGGGGCTAAAAGCTAATAAAGCTCATACCAAGCACTTGGTCTTCGTCCTTGCGCTTGTTCACTCCTTACACAAAGTGATCTGTTTGTATTTCCAATGGCATAGTTGGACGCATGTCATCACAGACTACGCTGATAAATGGGTTTTGGGCAAGTGTCACGTTTCCCCCTGAATAAAGTGTATGGTAGAAATGATCATTTGTCGCCACTAATCACGATATAACAATTCTTCCGTGAATTATACCCATTCCATTTTTTTCTTGTTCCCAAATCAACTAGTTATGTCTCAAAAAAAAACCTTCGAAGACGATCTTGCCGAAGTCGGTGCCAAGTCCACTCAAATATTTCAGACGATATAATTGACACTCTCGCTAAACAAAATTCAACTGTAGCTGCAATGAAGGCATTGAGAGATCGACAAAGAACAGCACCATTGTTTTCACCCCTACACCGGCCTCATAGCGGCAATCCACTTCCAGTCCAACAAACATATATCCCACCGCCGGCACCAGCCACATCATTTGGACATCTCAGTGCGATGCCATTCGGCCGCGCAGGCCCTCCCCTCGAACGAAGGAGATCGGACACGTCTCTTCATCAGTCCCCATTCGGCCTCCTTAATCTACAAGGAATCACATTTGGGACCCCTGACACACGACTTCAACATCCACAGCAAGCAAACCAAAACACATCAATGGACACTGATTCATCACCCATCCGCGGTACAATGGAAACTGATCAAGGTTCGATTATCCCACCCACGTATAACCACATTAACGACGTTATTGTTGCGTTTGAGCGAGTTGAAACAAAAGTCGATACCGCTAAAAACTATATACCAAAGCTCAAGGAAAAGCTCGAGGCTGCATTGAAATCTAACGAGTACAACCCTCAGACTATCAACGACGCCATTGATGAGATTGATAGAGAAATCAAAATTATCCAAGGAGTCCTCGATGTCGATATTCAAGTCTTATTTCAATCCAACCCACAATCGTTGAAGACACTCCCTGGAGCAGACACTGCAGTCAAGTTTATTAAAAATTGGGAAGTAAACATCCTAAGATTTTCAAACGAGCTCAAGGTGCATTTGAGGGATTTAAACACCACTACCCAGAGTTTGCGAGACAAACTAAAGAATCAGGATAAACATTATCAAACCTATCTCACAAAATACGAGCAACCACTTACGCTGAGCGATAATATGCATGAAAATCTCGTGAAAGAGTTCAACGAGCATATGCCCACGGACGATGACTTGGACTGGCTCACTCTATTTCAAGCTCGACTGGTCAGTAACAATGTTGCCATGAGTAAGGCCAGGGCTGATTATAACAAATTAAAAAGTCAATCGACTACCATTTCGCCCGAAAGGCTGGAGGTTGCTAGCGAGCTCGGGACAGCATGGCTTGACATGAGGATTGCACAAGTCGAAGGTTTGATCATCGACTACGACAACAAGTACGACGAATTATCAAGAAGAGTTGCAACCGCCATTACCGATGCAAATGCACGCCCTAAACCACCAAGTCGACGTCCTAGCACGAGTGTACCATCGTCCGCGGAACACCATCCAAACCCACCCACAGTAAATCCAGTCCCAACCGCAGATACACTTCCAGGCTACAGTGGTCCAGCTTTGACCGACAACAAAACCAAAACCAATGCATCTAATTTTCGGGTCGGTGAATCTATTCCCCCACCCTTGACCGCTTCAGGAACAAGTTCAGCACAGACGACGTACACCCCACCACCCAGCATGCCCGCAACCCCCCTGAACCTAACACAGAAGCCAACGAACGACGACGACGATGACACCTACACCAGCTCGCCGGGCCCGACCCTTACTGAATCGGATTTTGCACCCCTGCGACACCGTCTCTCCTATTCCAGCGGCAACTCGCCCTGGGCCGCCCGTACTCAGCCCTCGATCGGCAACCGCGATCTGAAAACGGTCCTCAAGGACATCATCGGCATGCACGTCAAGCTGATGAAGCAGCGGACGACACCGGCCGAGCCTCTACGCAGCATCTTTGACAAGTCGCCGTATATTCGCAGCACCCCGCTGAACAACACCAACTTCACACCCTCGCTCTTTGGCGTGGACCAATACCACATCGACAACGCACTCGACGAGCTCATCGAAAGCCACGATTTGAAGCCGCTGCTCGACAGCGAATCGCTCTATCCAACGACATCGATCCTGTCCACCAGCACACCCGCGGCATCCCCTGGTCTCTTTTATCAATTCAATCCATACAACCTCTACGCGTCGTCCATCATGGCCGGAGCAGGTCCGGTCGACGAAACGATCTACGACGACACTGAAGGCGCGTTCTACGACGACTACTAATTTCCCCCGGTCTATGTCATCCGACGACCACACACAAAAACCAAAACATGTCCACCGTTCTTCCCCACGACGATGCCCCGATCCCCGGCCAGCGCTTTGCGTGCATCTCGATGGTATCTCCGCTGAACCCCCGAAACAAGTGCAGCATCCAAGCGTTCAAGCTGCGGGGAGTGACCGATACCCTGGACGATGCAAAGTCGCTGGCCCACGCCATTCGCAACACGGACCCTTCCTTCGACGTCTTTGTGATGCCGGTGGGCCGCTGGGTCCCGTGGGTGGACAATCCGCTCGAAGTCCCCGACGTCAACTATGTGCAGTCGCAGCTGACCGAGCTGATCAACGAGCACAAGAAGCATGTGAAGGAGTCGACCAAGGCCTTCAACGAGCACATCGAAGCGCTCAAGTCCACGACGGGGCCGATCCCAGTCCCTCCCGAGAAGGAGACGGTGTCTCTGTGGTTCGACATCAAGCGTCTGGCCTCTGTGCTGGAGTATCGCCAGCGCGAGCTGGAAGGCATGATCGAGCGGTACAATGAGATGCCGGATGAGGATCGCAAGCACGCCGAGTCACTGCCACTCCCCGCATTCGAGATCGCACCATTCAAGCCCCCTGCCTTTGAAGCTCCGCCTGAAGACAACGGGGCACACGACCAGGTGATCGACGGGAAGGGGAAAGGCAAGGCCACCGTCCACGCCAACTAGATGGGGCACCACGGACTTTGCAGTGTCCGATAGCACCGACCAGGTACAAAAGGGCCGCCGGTGCCGCTGGTGCCGCTGGTCCTCGTTCACCACCTTCATCGATCATGTCTTCCTCGTTCATCTACAACCGCCAACGTTCGCCCGTCCTGTTCGAGTCCCCGCCTACCCCGGACACCAGGGGCTCCGTCGGCAAGGCCAAGCGCACCAAGCTCGAGCGCACCGACACGGCCAGCGCACGATTCAACGACTTGCTCGATTTCGTTGACGACCAGTCCTGCGATCTCAACGACGACATCGTCGAGGCAAAGTTTGCCTTGACGACTTCTTCAGTCCCGATCGACTCGAACCGGGTGTACAAGCGAATCTTTGGCCTCTACACCGACGCCGCCTCGGAGATCCTCATGAACAAGAACATGTCGGCCGCTCGGTTCAACCAGCTGCACACGCTGATGCAGGAACTGAGGGGCTGGCTGGGTGCGCCAAAGACGGAGGATGATGACGGGGTGATGTAATGTGCTGGACAGCTGTACTCCCCCGCTACACGATGGTGGTGTGGGAGATGTCGGACATCAAATACACAGCCCACTCCATATCTAATGCAGAAATCCGTCGTCCTGATGCACGCCCACTCCATGCATCATGCACCGCTGATCCGCTCTAATACACACGACCCGAAACGTCTCCATGGTTCATGGAGTGGTCTTGTTCGCTCTGAAACCCACCTCACTCCATGGGTCCTGGATGAGCTGGCTGAAACCTCTGGCCAGGATTGACAATGATGTTTTTTGAATTTTCTGTATTTTTGGGTAGCTGGCAACGACGACAAGACCCTCACTCCACAAAATCCATTTCTAATACACAGCACCGACACAACTACACCCTCACTCGACAACATCACTCCTTGAGAACCAAGGAAGGTACAAATACCACTCACTCCATACAAAATCTAATGCACAACACAGACATACCCCCTCCATGAATCCAGGAATCTAATGCACAGGAGCGAACAACTCACGAATCGTGGAGTGGGGGTGATGCTCGTTGGAGATCGGTAGTGGCACACACACACTCCATGCTGGATTCTCTATTTTGGACACGTGACTGACTAGCAGGATTGGGGCAATCTGTCATGGCTGACAGGAAGTCGAGTGACATCCTCTCTGACAGGAATTCGAGTGACACCCTCTCTGACAGGCACAATCGCCCCAGCGGCGCCGCTGGGTATAGGGTATATGAGGGACCTGGTGTGCGTCGCTGGAGCACCTCTCCTTCATCACCATGTCCTCCCTGGTTACCAAGCGCATCACCCGCTCGATGAGCACCCGGGCTACCAAGCGCCAGCGCCTCCATGAGCAGCTGATCTCCTTGGGAATCGAAGAGACCTACCCCATCCTCCTGGCCGTCCTCTCGATCCCTGAGCTGATCGAGATGCTCCCCGCTTGCAGTCTCGCGAAGCTCAAGGCAACTTCCAGCGACGTGAGGGCTCTGCTCTCGACCAAGACCGTGGGGATTCGCATCTGGGCCGAGTGGTTCAACAAGCAACACCACACCAGACTCCTCTCCGATGGCTGCGTCCAACTGGTCAAGTATTTCCCCACCGGGCCAGTCGCCTTCGACGTCAAGTGGCTCAAGACCATTCCGAAATACGAGGTCTCGGCCGAGTTCGTCCGAGTCGCATGCCACACCCGCCTTGGCAACCCCGAATCCCATATCGTGCAGCGACTCCTCGAGGCCAAGCATATCCCCACTGCGATGTGGGTCGTCGAGAACGGGTTCTGCGATGGCGAAATCCACAGCAAATGCCTTTCCGTCTTGACCAACCGATCCGAGGCACTCGACGACTTCCTCGTTGATCATAGGAACATCTTTCTCAGGGGACCATCTGTCGAGATCGCCCAGGCGTACTTTCAGTGGCTCAAGTCGTTGGACGCATCAAAATTGAAGATCAAGTACACCTTCCACGAATGCTATCGATTCGGCAGAGGTACTGATGCCAACCCGACCCGGGCCTTGGATCTCCTGGTCGAATGTGCTCGAAGTGGTTATCATGACAGCGTCCAGCAGATCTACGACATCTGCCGATATGGATGGATCCGACATGCGCCCCATGCATCGTCCATCTGGCATTGGTTGTCTGAATCGTCGGGGCACAGTCTCCCTGAAAGGGACAGGAACCTTCTGAGTGTCTACTGCATGAAGAACTCGATTGGCTTCCCTCGATGGATGACCTGCAAGGCTACATATCAGTATAGGCTGCTCATGGCGTACAGGGATGGTAGCAAGATAGCACGCCAGCAAATCCTCAGCATTTCCCCCAGTGCACCACATAACTGGGATCGCCCAGACCACTGGGTTGATATGATCGCTCTGAACGACATCACAGCAGCCAGAAACGACCCCCAAGTTCAAGTCGTGTTTGTCAAGCTACTCAAGCGCTCCATCATGGTCAAGAGCAATGGTGCTGTTCTTTGGTCTCACTATGAGAGGCTCATTCGCGAGCGCTACACACAGTGAATGGAGTACGCACCCCTTCTTCAGATGTAGGCACCATCGAGCCATGGTTTTGTGTGGTGTGGTCGATTTGTTTGTATTTTGATGCATAGCTGTACTCCCCGCTACACGATGGTGGTGTGGGAGATGTCGGACATCAAATACACAGCCCACTCCATGACTAATGCAGAATTCTGTCGTCCTAATGCACGCCCACTCGAGAGCTGATGCACGGGTGATCCACACTAATACACACGACCCGAAACGTCTCCATGGTTCGTGGAGTGGTCTTGTTCGCTCTGAAACCCACCTCACTCCATGGGTCCTGGATGAGCTGGCTGAAACCTCTGGCCAGGATTGACAATGATGTTTTTTGAATTTTCTGTATTTTTGGGTAGCTGGCAACGACGACAAGACCCTCACTCCACGAAACTCATTTCTAATGCACAGCACCGACACAACCACACCCTCACTCGACAACATCACTCCTTGAGAACCAAGGAAGGTACAAATACCACTCACTCCATTCAAAAACTAATGCACAACCCCGACACACCAGCTCCATGAATACCAAAATCTAATGCACAAGAGCGTACAACTCACGGATTGTGGAGGGAGAATGGATATACCCGAGCATCTCCGGATCAATATCCTACCATGGAGCGCGGGTGGAGGTTGGGATCAGGGCAGAGATGGAAATCACTGGTATGGCATCCACCCCATTCGCCGCAGTGCCGGGCATGATTGGCAGGACCAGTGGCGGGATGAGCACACCCTACAGGAGTGATTCGTGTTGGTGGGTGTTGGCGCCCTGGGTTTTGGCGCCCTGGGTTTTGGCGCCCTGGGTTTTGGCGCCCTGGGTTTTGGCGCCCTGGGTTTTGGCGGGCTGGGTTTTGGCGGGAATCCTGGCCCATAAATTCGGCTCGTTCTTAGGATGCTGTTTGCTCCCCAGGCAGTTGGGCAGCAGCAAAATCTCAAGACCGTAACGTAAGTGTATTTCCTTCCGTGATGATACTCCATGCATGTCCGTGTGTCATGCTGTGCGATGGCTAACATAATGACTCGGCATCGCCAGTCTGCACGTTCCATTCGCAGAAACCAAAAATGACAATCACAATCATGCTCCTCCTGGCCTTCGTCCTCTGGCCCATTGCCCACTGCCTACTTCATACTGCCTCTTCTACGGCCTATACTATCATTGCCTATATTACCTATATTACCGGTGCCTGCTATCATCCGGCACAAACCATCCTATCCATCGCATTCCGCGATTACTACGCGTCGCACGTCACCATCGACGCCTCAAGACACTCCTGCCCATCCATGGCACATCCGAGACCGTTCCTGTCTCTATCGATCCACTCGAGCCCCGCTCGCGACACCAAGACCACCAAGCCCGATCCTCTCCCGTCTCAAATGGGAACCACTCCTGGAACATGACTCTGTTGATTTGATTTGATTTGATAAGCCCTCTGCCGCCGCCCATCACCAACTGGTTCGCCAGTTGAGACCTCCAGCTCTGTCTGGAACCACCGTGGCTCCGGCCACACGCGAGACTGGTTCATTGGTCTTCGCTTCAACGACCATTACGGTCGGGTTTGAACGAAAATTTGGCGGCGGCAGAGGCGGACCTATGCCCAAATTCACACGGCATACGGACACTGTATTCGATATTCGCATGCAATACATTCCAATTGCACTTGCGTTCTTCCCACACTACTTGCGGAACCACTTGAACAGACCCTTCGGTTTGGCTTTTTCTTTCGCGATTCGGGCATCCTCGGCGAGTCGTGCTTGTTCTGCAATTCGTGCTTGTTCTGCAATTAGTGCTTGTTCTGCAATTCGGGCTTCTTCTGCAATTCGGGCTCGCTCTTCGGCTCTTACTCTCGCCTCTTCAAACGCTGCTGCGACGGCTGGTTTGGCTTTGATGTACCTGGCAACCTCGGCTTGAATCTCTGGGGTGTTGAGGTAGATTGGCTGTGGTGGTAGGAGTGTTAGTTGAGGGACTGGAGTAGTGGTGACAGGTGGCTGGACTTACCAGGATGATGACTGTGTGATGACCAGCATCACAACGGACCAATGAGATTGTCCCGCATGCTCTCGCCCTCCGCACCAATCATGAGTCCCCACGTGTTTGTTTGCCCCCATGCATGAGCACGCGCCGTTGCCACCCGCGTCTACTGGTTTCCTGCCTCCCCCACCGCTCGGCACATGTCCCCGGGCTGTGCCAAGCCTCTCTCGCTTGCACACCAGCCACTCTCGCACCCCCTTCTCGCTTCTCTGTGATGCTCCACCCTTCTCGCCCACTTTTGCCCCTCGACCTTCTCCCGGTCTATAAATAGCCCTGCATGTCTGAGCCTATGTTGAACACCAGTTCGAACAAAACTTGTTCTTTGGTGTTCGGGGCTAAAAGCTAATAAAGCTCATACCAAGCACTTGGTCTTCGTCCTTGCGCTTGTTCACTCCTTACACTTTGTTCGAACTCTCTTCTACTGATACCACCTGCTTGGTATCTTCCGCTCCTAGCCCCGCCCCTTTCCTAGTCCTGTCCGAACCTCAAGCACACTTGTGTCTGAGCCCTCTTCGCTCTCCTGTTCTTGAACCTCCTCGCTTTTTTTTTTTTTCCCAGTCCCAGTCCCAGTCCCGCCATGGATCCTGCCCTCGTGGACCGCCTCCGTGCCTTGGAGGCCGAGCTCGCCGAGCTCCGGACAGCTCGCGATGCTCCTGCCGCTGGGTACAGCGTGCAGATGCCGGACCGTTACGACGGTAACCGGCAAGGGTTCCGGGCATTCGTAAATCAGTGCAAACTGTATATACGAATGCAGCCCCACCGGTTCCCTGCTGACCCGATTAAGGTCGGATTCGTCATTAGTCTGCTCACTGGACCGGCTCTCCAGTGGGCGACTCCGATGCTTGAGATGGGTGATCCCCGACTCAACTCTTTTGGCGATTTCCTAGAACGCTTTTCCAAAGTGTTTGACGACCCTGATCGGGCCAGGACTGCCGAGTCAGTGATCACCACACTGTCTCAGGGCAACCGCCCGTGCGCAGTCTATGCATCCGAGTTCCTTCGTATTGCCGCCGATACGACTTGGAACGACGGTGCAAAGATCTCGTTCTTCCGACTTGGCTTGTCGGATGATGTCAGAGACGAACTTTCGCGAGTTCGCCCTCTGCCACGAGATCTGGAGGAGTACATCGAGCTTTGTAACGAGCTCGATGCACGAATCCGCGAGCGCCGTCAAGAGCGCCGAAGCACGCCTGCCCGCTACCGGTCTTCCCAGTTCGCCTTTGGTTCCGCCTCCGCTGCCGTTCCCGCCATCGCTCCCGCGCCCGTCCTCGCTCCGCCGCACCCCTCCTACATTGTTTCCGAGCCCATGCAAGTGGACTCTGCCGTCTCTGGACCCCTGACCGCCGAGGAGAAACAACGCCGCCGCCGCTTTGGACTCTGCCTGTACTGTGGCAAGAAGGGCCACTTGGTACGAAACTGCCCCGTCAAGTTTGGATCTACCAGAGCTACCGGACCGCCCCCTGGACCTCCCGGCCCGAGGATCATCCGCACCATCGTTTACGAAGATGGAGAAGTGCAAGACTTCAGTTCGGGAAACGACCAGGCCCGGTTCTAAGTGAAGGCCTTGAACCGGAGCCGTGCCCACCGCCTTCCGAAAGTGAAGACATTGGTAAGGTGCCTTTGGTAAGTACTGGGGAAGCAGTGATGTGCGGACAGCTTCGCCTTGCCTCTGGACCGGCGGACACTCTCAGCTCTGGCATAGTACCCGTGGCACCTCTGGTGTCACTGGGAACTGCACCTCATCCACAGGTGCAAATACCTGAGCTGTCCTGCCAACCCTCGGCAAAGTTAACTGTCTGTGCTAGCCGCAACCCTGGTGCCGAAGCTGGTACCGAACCAAAGTCTTGTGTTTCGTCTGTTCGTCGTTGCTCGTTGGTTGTTCCCGTCGCTGTTCGTCTTCCTTCTGGTGATTCTCTGTCGTGCGAAGGACTTGTCGATTCTGGTGCCTCTGGCAACTTTATCGACGAGGACTTTGTTGCTCGACACTCTGTCCCCACCTGCTCCAAGGCTTCGCCCTTGGCAGTGGAAGGCGTGGATGGTAAGCCGCTGTCGTCTGGCCCCATCCTCCGCGAGACTGCTCCACTCGAGGTGATTCTCGGGGACGTCTCGCAACGCCTTCGGTTCGATGTGATCAGGTCTCCACATCAACCACTTATCCTTGGCTTTCCTTGGTTGCGCACCGCCGAGCCCAAGATTGTCTGGTCTCGCGGTCTTCTTTGTCTCCCTCCTTCTGTTGATTCCGACCCCTCTCCATGCACTACTTCCCTTTCGTCTTGCTCCACTTCCTCCAATGTCACTCCCCTTCTTGATGATTCCACTCCTTTGATTGATCTAAGCTCCTCTCCTACGCTCCCACCTTCGTCTTCCCCTTCTTGTCTTGTTCCTCCCGAACCCCTTCGCTCTTCCCAAACCCCTTCTTCTGTTGTCAGTTCTCTTTCCCTCCTTGATGTACCTCCTCCTGTTGTTTGTTCTTCGGACATTGTTCAGAATAAAGTAACCGTCGAACATTATTCTGACCTTGTCCACGCCCCTCCTCTCAGCTCGGACGCTCCTCTCCGCGTCTGCAGCATTGATTACCGCTCGATGCGCGAGTCTTTGGATGCATGCAGGCATGGAACGCAACCCCTGACCATCTTTCAGGTCCATGTCCTGCCCACTGACGAGCCGAGCACTGCGACTGTCGAAGTGCCTGCGGAGTACAAGGACTTCCTGTCTGTTTTCTCTAAACAGGAAGCTGACTCCTTGCCTCCGCATCGCCCTTATGACTGCCCCATTGACTTGGAGCCGGGCAAGTCGCCAAAGTTCGGGCCTCTGTACTCACTGTCCGAGCCCGAACTTCACGCTCTGCGTGACTATCTCGACGAGAATCTTGCCAAGGGATTCGTTCGTCCTTCGTCGTCCCCAGCAGGCTCACCAATCCTCTTCGTCAAGAAGAAGGACGGCTCACTTCGTCTTTGCGTTGACTACCGCGCACTGAACGGTATCACGGTAAAGAACCGTTACCCTTTACCGCTGATCGGCGAGCTGCTGGACCGACTTCGAGGCGCGAAGGTGTTCACTAAGCTGGACCTTCGTGGAGCCTACAATCTGCTGCGCATCCGCTCCGGGGACGAGTGGAAGACAGCTTTCCGTACTCGATATGGGCACTTCGAGTACTTGGTGATGCCCTTTGGGCTCACCAACGCGCCAGCGACGTTCCAGCACTTCATCAACGACGTCCTGCGCACCGAGTTGGACCAGTTCGCAATTGCGTATCTTGACGATATCTTGATCTACAGTGCTGATCCGTCGCAGCATGTAGAGCACGTCAAGCAGGTCCTCTCGAAGCTCCGAGCTGCAAAGCTGTATTGCAAGCTGGAGAAGTGCGAGTTCTCCAAAACCTCGGTCTCGTTCCTTGGTTTCATGGTCTCGCCCGAGGGCATCGGTATGGAGCGATCCAAGCTCTCTGCGATCTTGGATTGGCCCATACCGCGCAACATCTCGGATCTTCGATCCTTTGTCGGGTTTGCGAACTTCTATCGACGCTTCATCGATGGATACGCAAAGATCGCGGGGCCCATGACTCGGCTCTTCCGGAAGACGCATGGCTTCCAGTGGTCCCGCGAAGCCGATAAAGCATTCAGATCCTTGAAGGATGCCTTCGTTTCGGAGCCCGTTCTGGTGCATCCGGACCCATCCAAGCCGTTCGTCGTAGAGTCAGATGCGTCGGACTTTGCGCTTGGATGCGTGCTCTCCCAGCGGGGTGCTGATGATCGCCTTCATCCTTGCTCGTTCCATTCGCGGACACTCTCGAATGCTGAACGTAACTACAGCATATACGAGAAAGAGCTGTTGGCGATCAAGGAGGCTTTCGAGGCGTGGCGACACTACCTCGAAGGCGCCCAGCATCCCGTTGCCGTTCTGACCGATCACAAGAACTTGGAGTACCTGGCAACGGCTCGCATCCTAAACCAGCGTCATGCACGGTGGTCCCAGTTCTTGTCTCGGTTCGACATCCGCATCCAGTACCGTCCTGGTGCGAGGAACGGCAAGGCCGATGCCCTGTCTCGTCGCTCGGACTACATCCCTTCGTCGGCCTCCGTGTCGAGGGATCCGCCTCTGCTTCTCGATCCTGCCGCGGTGATACGCGTGCTCCGAAGCAGAGACGCCCGCTCTTCGGTTGCAAGTCGCAGTGACCCTGTGGATTTGCTGCAGCTCATAGCCGAAGAGCAGGCTCGGGATCCCGGTCTAGACAAATACCGTCGTGACCCGAAGTTCGTCTGGAATGGCCAGTACCTCACCTTCCAGAACAGGATTGTGGTCCCAGAGTCGTGCCGAGTTCCGGCGCTCAAGTCGTGCCATGACCCAGTCGCTGTGGGTCATCCAGGCATCCGACGGACTCT